AAAGTTTTGCAATTGAACACAAGCTTACATGAGGAAGCTTGTTTTGTTTTGTTTTGTTTTCTGACTAAATACAAACATACTGTAAGTTACCCATTCATTCATTTTCCTTCAGCTTAGTTCCTTATTTATCAGGGGTCGCCACAGCGGAATCAACCTATTCCAATGAACTATTCCAGCCTATGTTTAACGCAGCAGATGTCCAACTGTAATCCAGTACTGGGAAACATCCCATACACACCCATTCACACACACTCATACACTACAGCCAATTCAGTTCATCAATTCACTAATAGAGCATGTCTTTGTCAACACAGAAATGCAAACTGACCCAGCCGGGACTCGAACTAGCGACCTTCTTGCTGTGAGGTGACAGTGCTAACCACTGATCCTCCATGCCACCCTAAATTAACCATTGCAAATCTATTGAAAAATAGATTATCCATCCATTTCTCCTATTTTTCCATTTCTAAGGGCTCCAAATGCATTTTTATACCACGCAGATGACATCATGGTACTATAGTACTGTCATAACAGTATTATACTGTAGTGCTGATTATAAAATTCGAACACAACAATACCATGTTGCTGGACATCTGATCACTACTTATCGATTACCATATAATTAGCCTGCAGTAATTATTATCCAATACTGTGGTGGTAAAAATCTCACACAAACACTAATTTGACTACAGTGCAAAACAATGGCATAGTTTTAATACCTCTTCTAGCCCTCTAAAGTTATAGCATGTGCCCAGTCTTATGTAATGTATCTCAGCGCTGACGTGTTCGCACAAACATGTGTACGCCATATTTGCGGTGTGATTTTATGCAGTGCGAGCCACAGATTTCAGTGTTATGCGTAAAGGAGCCGAACTCAAGGGCCGCTGGGGGTCCGAGAGAATAAAGCGGAGACTGAAGGTCTGGTTTGAGTTATTAGACAAGGCTTTCTCTGTGCTGCCAGCCTGTTATGCTCAGTTTGGCTCCGTCCGTCTGCAGAGAAAACAAAAACTGGCGGACGCAGTGAGAATGAGGGACAACCAGGTTTAAAAATAAAGACTATTTAGTGTCTCACAACCTTGAAAGATTAAAAAAAAAAAGATTTAAAAAGTAATTATTATATATTTAGTGGATATTTGTGTACTTTTCTAAAGTGCTTTGTAATCATGTTCTTGCTCGTGTAAAATGGTTTCAAATGATATTTAATTTGATTTATTTATTTGTTTTTCTCTGTGATAGGACAGTGTGTACTGGGGATTGGAATGGTCTGAATAAAACAATTATTGTATACATATATATTTAAAAGTAATATTAGTAAAAGTAAATAATATGATATTCAATTAATAGTAAAAGTAATTTTATTTTAACAGTTTTCTAATCTGAGGAGGGAGATGCAGCAAGGCAGATTCGAGCCTCTGCTGGGTCAGTTGGCGTTTCTGTGTGGAGTTTGCATGTTCTCCCCGTGTTGGTGTGGGTTTCCTCTGGGTGCTCCGGTTTCCCCCACAGTCTAAAGACATGCGCTATAGATAAATTTAATAAACTAAATTGGCCGTAGTGTATGTGTATGGATGTTTCCCAGTACTAAGTTGTAGCTGGAAGGGCATCTGCTGTGTTAACATATGTTGGATAAGTTGGAGGTTCATTGCACTGTGGCGACCCCTGATGTATAAAGGGACTAAGCTGAAGGAAAATGAATAAATGAATGAATGTTTATTTAATCTTGTCCTGTAATGAAATACAATGTAAATTATAACTGATTTGGATTTTTATTTCCTAAAAAAAATGATTATTATATAATAAATTAGCTTATTTTTATACTTTTTCTATCATAAACATTTATCCAATTATACATATAAATAATTAAAAGAAAAGCTTTTAATTATACAAAGTATGTATGGGAAGATATCAGTTTCAAGGTTTGTCTTGGTTTGGCAAAGTCAAGATTTTAAAACTGCCAGAATTACTTGTTATACCGTTCCAGAAGTAAATGTACAGTATTTTTTACGTGTTTGTTGCGACTAATTTTAGTTTTTTTTTAGAGCAACAGTATCTCCAGCAGAAAATGACCCGCAACATCAGAAGCTATGGTTACAAAATAGTTTAAATGATTCTTAAAATAGAATATATTATGTCAATGGGGGAAAAGTTTTTTTTTTTTACCCAAACATTTAAAAAGAACATACTTTAGAGCAGTGCAACAGTGAAGCTGTGATATTTTTATACCATGTTAACCTACCGTCACATTCTTATAGCAGCCCATGCCTAATACAAAGTTTGTGCTAGAAATAAGAAATAACTACTAGTTCATTATTTTCACAATAAAGTACATTCGCGTTTTAAAATGTGTAATAAATCTTCAAAAACAGTCAAATTAAATAAAAAAAATAAATAAAAAGCAGTGAGTCTCTTTCTGAAAGTAAAATGACAATTCAAGCCAAACATGGCTTTTAAATATATGATTTATTGTAAACATATTAAACAAAACACATTCAGATCCACTCACTCGGTTCAGTCACAAAAACCCTGATGGAAAATTCAGTCTGAACAACAACAACAAGAAGAAAAGCACGATCCAGTATCAAAAATGTATGGTATGAAAAATAAACAAATCATCTGAAATGCAAACAGGCTTTTAGGTTTAATTTCACACATTTCAATACACTAAAAATATTCTTCACCCAAAAATATTAACAAGTCTTTATTTACAAACCAAGCAAACAAGGTTTGGAAATAATGTGGATGATGGAAGTATTAGTTTTTGGTGAACTTTGTCTGTAAAGGCACAAGCAACAACAACAACAGTTTTTTTTTTGTTTTGTTTTTTTGGACAAACTTGTGCTGATCGTACGAAAATAAACCTTTCCAGTTTATCCCACACAAATATAATACAGAGAAATGCAGAGTTCAGCATTGTAAGGGGAAATTTGCTTTCCAAATATAGTTTTGTGCAACACAGACGAAAAAAAACAACAACACTGAAAGGCTGATGAGACATTTAAGGTCAAAAATCACTCACTTTCCAGCAGTGCATGAGGAAAACCTGTATAAAAACACATCCATCCTCACAGTTCATCTGCAAATCATTTAAAAAAAAATGATTTTTTTGAATCTGTGGAACCACTTAAGTTACATTTTTATGACCACTAAACATGACATACAACATATTTTGCGATTAAAACAAACCACTTCAGGACTATTAAAAATCTTTCTGAAATTTTCATGATTATTTAGTATCATTATTATGCATATAAATGTTTTATGCATATGAATATTTTATAGCATAGTAATGTAATAATTGTGATTTATATCTCATGTTGGTATTTATTAAGATATCTAATTTTGAAGTGAAATGTGATTGAAAGAAATTGCTATCCGAGGTTTTGATGAGGCAGCAGTGATGAAAATAATAACAACTTGGCTAACACTTTAGTTTAGGCCACAATTCATCTTATTAAATACCGGCTTATTACCCGTCTATAATTAAGCTATGAATTGTTCATTAGTAGCTATTAAGAATGATCTTATTCTGCATTCCTAATCCCACCCAAACCCAACTTCTACCTTACTAACCATTAATAAACAGCTAATTAGCAGTAAATTAAGCTAGTAGTGTTAGTTAATGATTTGTTAATATTGTGAACTGTGGCTAAGCTAAAGTGTTACCATGATTTGTGTTGGTTTTAAAAAGCTGCTCATGTGACACATGACAACAATAAGGTCACAACTGGTTTTTGCGCAGATATAAAGATTGACAGAAATAAAGGCCTCAAATGACGGCTGAAACCACCACATCTATCATTTTACACTAATAAAAAAAATAAAATAAAAAATCATTTACAAACACACAAACATCTTGTACTCTAACTGCCAATGTTAGTTTAATCTTCATGTCTATACTGCTAGATAAGGCTGCATTTATTTGATCAAAAACAAAAAAAGTAAAATTAGTTTTTAGTCAAGGTAGTTTAAATTCATTTAATAATTTTGATTTGACGTCAGATTTACTTCTGTCTTCAGTGTCGCGTGATCCTTTAGCTGTCAAATCCAGTTCCTGGAGGGCCGCAGCTCTGCACAGTTTAGTTCCAATCTAGCTTTAACACACTTACCTGTAGGACTCAAGCCTGAAAGACTCAATTAGTTTGATCAGGTGTGCTTAATTAGGGTAAAAGGTAAACTGTGGTGAGCTGTGGCTTTCCAGGAACTGGACTTGACACCTGTGATTTAGTTTATGATAATCAGCTGCTCTTTTATTCTATTTTCGGCACTCAAAGTTCAAAATGTTTTTTCCTGCTTCATGATTTTAATGAAAACTTTACCATTATTTCATGATAATGAATAAATGTCTTTAAAGTAGATAACAACAAAAGTAAAGTGTCCTTGAAGAAAAAAAAGTAGATATTTTAATGGTTGGTGCCATTTTAGTTTCCACAAAACATGAAGTTTAACACTGATGATGCTAATAATAATAATAAGGTCCCACTTTATATTAAGTGTCCTTAACTACTATGTACTTGTATCAAAAAATAAATACAATGTACTTACTGTGTTCATAATGTATTTGAGAACACTTGTGGTGCTTTTAAGTTGGGATAGAGGTTAAGTTATGGACAGGTTTGGTGGCATGGGTAGGTTTAAGGGTGGGTTAAGGTGTAAAGGATGGTCAACAGTATATTTACAAATGTAATTACAGAAGTTAATTACAGATGTAAATACATACATTTATTTATTCAAGCATAAGTACACAGTAAATACATGTATTTACAATAAGTACATTGTAACAAACTATTAATTCCTGTGTAAGTATATATCAGTTAAGGCCACTTAATATAAAGTGAGACCAATAATAATAATAATACTAATAATAATAATAGTGTCTTAATCAGCATCATCATCATTTTAGAATGATTTCTGAAGGATCATGTGACAGAAAACTGATGAAATGACGCAGAAAATTTGGCTTAAAAAATAAAAATAAAATCACAGAAATAAGTTACATTTGAAAACACATTCAATACAATTTAATAACAACTTTACTGTAATTTTGATCAAATAAAAGCAGCCATGGAGAGCATTATAAACGTTTACATTTTTTTTAAAATTTGACCATTGGCTTACACCGAAAAAACAACACATAACGCCCAGTGCAGTTCATCCTCCAGTGCAGCAGGAAAAAGCCGCCGCTACGCCACACGTAAAATCCACACGCATACATTTTAAAGACCTCCATATGTTCAAATCTGCACAAAGTCTTACCACGTTGCAGCTTTCAGTGTAGAAACCCCATCAAAATCAACGGTAACACCCAATATTGTAAAGCGCTAGTCCAGAGCGCCGCCGCTCGATTCCCGTTGTCCTTTATACTACAGTCATCGCCGCTGTAACCGTTATAACACTGACACTGGAAGTCGTCACGCAGACGTCCCAGTTCTTCTTCGCTCATCTGTCCCGTTAGCTTTAGCGTGTTAGCCTGTCGCTCAATGCGGTGTGTGCTAGCACTCAAGTGCAGGTATGTGTCCGTGTTGGGCTGTTTGCGCAGACAACGGCCGCGGAAACCGCACAGATTTCGACTGCACTGCTCAGCGGCCGATGTCACGTTTAGTAGATATCGACCCAGCGGCCCGCGTAGATACTCGTTCAGACTCGAGCACGTTGCCTGTAAAACACCACAGAAGAAAAAACAAAGATATTCTGATGATTTTTGTGGGGATTGTTATTAATACACAGTGGTCCCTCGTTATTCGCGGGGGTTACATTCTCAAAATATTCCGCAATAGGGGAAATCCTTGAAGTAGTCCGCTTTATTTCTTACAATTATTAATAGATATTTTAAGGCTGTAAAACTGCCCACTACACATTTTATACACTTTTCTCAGACAGGCGTTTTTCACACTTTTCTCTTTTGCTTAAACACTCTGAAAGTTAAAATTAAGAAGAAAATGAAGTCCACTATTATATTTATTCCGTAATGCCACCCTACAGCTGCGTAACTTCCACCTTTCTTTAGCATCTCCAGAAGGTTAACTTTTTGTTCGATAGTTAGCATCTTCCTCTGCCTTTTGGGAGCTACCGCAGGTGCCTTTACGGTGCAGAACATTTTGTCGACATTGTAGGGAGAAAACATACAGTCCAGCACGTCAGAGTCACACTGCAAGTCATCGAAGATTTATGTAAATTTGTTAAGCTGAACGCATTCTGTACTGTACAGGAGACACCACATGGAGGAAATAGATTGACAATGGTCTACAGCCAGTCAGGACGCAGAACACAATGCGCTGTAGTAAAATCATGTCAAATTGCACGGAAAAAAATCTGCGAAAGTGAACTGCATTATAGCGATATAGGACCACTGTATTAATAAAGGACTCATTCGTTTTTTGCTTCTGTCTGTAAATAATGTACATTTATGTGTGAAACATGGAGTTATATTTATTATAAAATTCTGTTTTATTATTGTTATACAGTAAAAAAAAAACTATAATGATAAATATTATTTTATAATCCAACTGAAAATAAATGATTTATGACTGATTTTCTAAATAAACTAGAGAATAACAACAATAATAATAATACTAATGATCATTAATATGTATAACTTCTCAATTAATTATAATAAAATGATTATTTAGTATGAAATAAACGACTGTTATTGTAATATAAATTCTATCATTCTCATTATTATAGTTATTTTAATACTATGGCTGATAACGAATATGTGGAAAAAAACTCAATTTAAATTAAATATTTATAAAATAAAAATATTAAATTCTATATTCTTTTATCTAGATTAAATTCAAACAATACGAACAGCAGCAATGATAACTACAATAATAATAATAATAATAATAATAATAATAAGTACTGTTGTTGGATTTGTTTGCCCTCAGTCTAAACTTAAGAATAATAATTCAACCAACTAATTCAACTTATTTATTTAAATGATTACAGTTTTAAGAAGTTCATACAGCTAAAAGTAAAAAAGAGGAAACGAGAATGCATAAAAGCTATAAAACCACCCTCAAAAACCATCCTATAATATCCAATAAACTTTCCGTATGTTATAATAATGACTAAATTCTGAATATCTCCCAATATCATCCTCAATGATGTTGTCAATAAATGTCAGTTTCATGATTTGCTTTCTAAGACCTCAATGAATCATCTGGAGGCAGCGGTATTATATTTGTGTTGCCTTTATACAGTTGAAGTCAGAGTTATTAGCCCCCGTGTTTATTTTTATCCCCAATTTCTGTTTAACAGAGAGAAGATTTTTCCAACACATTTCTAAACATAATAGTTGTAATGACTCATTTCTAATAACTGATATATTTTATCTTTGCCATGATGACAGTAAAAAATATTTGACTAGATATTTTTCAAGACACTTTTATACAGCTTAAAGTGACATTTAAAGGCTTAACTAGGTTAATAAGTTATTGTATAATGGTTTGTTGTAGACTATCGAAAAAAACATAGCTTAACAGAGCTAATAATTTTGACCTTAAAATATATTTGAGAAAATTTAAAACAGCTTTTATTCTAGCTGAAATAAAACAAATAAGACTGTCTCCAGAAGAAAAAATATTATCAGACATACTGTGAAAATCTCCTTGCTGTTAAACATCATTTAGGAAATATATATAAAAATAAAAATTAAAAGGGGGCAAATAATTCTGACCTCAACTGTATGTTTTTTAACTCCTAAATAACTTTTATTTTATGATTAACCAGAGTTTTAGCTAAAAATCTTTAATGTTCAACAGAAAAAAAGCCCATCTCTCATGACGTAAGTGTGAGTAGATTATCATCTAAAGTCTTTTTTGCTGTGTTTTGGTGTCAGACGCACCTGACTGCTGGCGTAGGTGGAGTCGCCCCACAGAATGACGCCTGCGACGCCCAACGCCACACTCTCACCGATAGTTGACACCAGATCCATCTGCAGGAGAAAGAAACCATCTAGATTAGACCAGCATCAAACCTCACAGTCCTGTGGCCTGTTCCATGAAGCTTAACCATGAATTATTGGCAGCAAAAGGCACTTTTCTTAGTGTAAAAAGCTTTTATTTAGAGTAATAAAGAGACTAAAATGATCCAAAAAGTTTTCATAATAGCCCTAAGACAGGAATGGGTGTTCATTAGTTATCATAAACTTATTTTTGACCCAATTCAAACGTTGACCAATGCGTATAGTGAAAGTCCTTTTATAAAGCGAACATATGGTACTTTACTGACAGCTGTTTCCTCTAGTTTGGGTTGCTCAAACCTAGAATAAAACCTACTTTTGAGCTTGTTAGAAATGTATTGCAAGTTACCATGATGACAAAACCAAAGCCTATAGTTTGCTCAAATTAGAAGCGAAATTTGTGCAACAGGCCTCTCAGCCTCCAGTGGGTGTAGTAAGTAGTAAGTCTACTATGTTTGTGTGTTTGTGAAAAGTGACATGGAAATGAACAACAGAGGCTTGTTTCTTGAGCACACACTTGACTGTCTTGATGGTTTAAGGCGTCACTGACAGTCACTCATTCATTGTTTGGCTTTTGTTGAAACCCTTCACCTCTTATTCACTAGATACTGACGTCCCACACTGATAACGCAGGCGTTTCTCCTGGATAAATGAATAGTTCACCATGACAGACACCATGAGTATCACCTTTTTTCTTTTTCTTTTTTAAACAAGTTTGAAATGTGCACAATAAGATCATTTATTTTATTATCAAAACATTATTAACATGTATAAACTGAATACCAACCTTTAAAATAAGAATTAAAAAAATAACATTATGTATTTAGTAATTGTAAAAATAGCAATAGTATTTAATAATATTGGTATTACTAAAAATAATAGCAACATTAATAATAATATCATTAATAATAACAACAACAACTATTATCATTATTATTAAATAATAATTAATCAAATTGTATTTACTAATTTTATAAATAGCAATAACATTTAAAAATTTCATTATTATTATTATTAATAGCAACATTAACAACAATAATATTAATAATAATTAATCAGATTCTAATTAGTAATTATATAAATAACAAAAGCATTTAATAATATAATATTAATAATAACATTATTAATAGCAACATTGCTAACAAAAATAAAAATTAGTATTATTATATAATTATAATAAATAACAAAAGTAATTAATAACATCATTATTAATAACAATAATAATATTAATAATAATAACACTAATAATAATAATACTGATGCTAATTATAATAATAATAATAATAATAACAACATCTATATTAAAATGCAAAACATTTAAATACTAACATTACTATTATTGAATTTACTTGTGATAAAATAATTTTTTAATCATAATTGTAAAATAATAATAAAATATTAATGACATTCATAACCTAATTAATATTTATATTCTAAAATAATACTAAATTAAATAAAATTTATATATATGCTAATTAAAATAAGTTCATGAGAAAAGTATTAATTAAAAACAATAAACAATTAATCATAACAAGTAGATAAAAAAAATTGCTAATAAACATAAGTTAATAATGAGTAAAATATTTCTTAGAAACATAAAAAAACAATTAATCATAACAAGTAGATAAAATAAATTATAACATAAAAAAATAAATAAAATAAATAGTTAGCAAAAGTTCAAACACTAGACTTGTAAACGCAGTGTGCAGCACTTCATTTAGATTCTCCTCCAGTTTCTGGTCTGCTGATTCATGTTTACAGTCTCACTGCCAGAGTTTTCATTTTCATCTCATTACACAAAGTCAGTCCTCATGTTGTGCTCATTTGTTGAACTCACAGAGCCATAAAACACACTGGGCTTGATCTGCGCTGTGACGAGAGGGAGTTTATTCCCTCCTGCGCGCTCTTATATAAAGCTGTTAACTCACTCGGACAAACCACAGATTTCTGGAGTGTGGCATTTAAAATAATTAGTTACTATTCATTTTTCATTTAAATGAGCAATTTATTTTTTATAACTAAATTTGTTTAAATGGAATAGATATTAAATAAAATATATTTAAAATAAGGACAATAATAATGCTATTACTACTAATAATAATAAGGTCACACTTTATTTTGATGGTCCGTTTGTTGAATTTAAGTTGCATTGCATCTACATGCCAAATAATTTTATTACATTAGAAGTAGACTGTTAGGTTGGGGTTAGGGTTAGTGTAAATAGACATGTACTTGCAAAGTTTTTTATCGTCAGTTAAATGTCTGTTGAAGGAGCATATCAACAGATATTAAGCAGACAGTCTACTAATACGCAAATGGACCATCAAAATAAAGTGTTACCACTAATAATAATAATTATTATCATTATTAAAAAAATAATAATTATTAAACAACTTTGTTACTTGGCAAATAAATGTTACTCGTAATTAAATAAAAATAATATATTTTTAATAAAAATAAAATAACAACATTTTTGTAAAGATTGTATGGAATTTCAAATGCATTGAAAAAAAATAAATGTGATTTAATAAATGGAAATTAATAAATATATATATATATAAACTTTTTTGTTGCTTTGAAGATGAATGGAAAAAATGAAATAAATACATTTAAAAACAATTATTAAAAGCTTTGGCACTTCAAATTCAAATAAATATTTCTGATGAAAAACTGAAAATGTAAAGACCTAAAAAGTAAAAAAAAAAAGTTTAGTCTTAGTTGTTCTAAAATAACACTGTTTAATAACAAAGACAATTAGATACAAATAACAAATATCGATTTTTCACCCATATTATTTCAATCAGTTAGCAAATACCCAGAAGTGTGGCGTTTAAAATAAAATAATTAGTTTCTATTGATTTAACATTTAAATTACCAATTAATTTTTTATTGGTAAATTTGTTTAACAGAAAAGACATAAAAAAAAAACATATCTAAAAATGTCAATAATAATAATAATAATGCCTCTAATTATGTAAAAAAATAAATAAACAACTGTTTTTGACATCAAATAAATGTTAATGCCAATTTGAATGAAATAAAAATAAAATATATTGTTAGAAAATAATATATAAACCTTATTTTTTGGAAGTAAATAAAAAATAAATGCGATTTAATAAATAAAATAAATAAATAAATAGAAATTAAAATATTTTTACAATCATTTTATTACTTTAAACATGTGTCTGCTCTGGTAACCTCAAGGCCTCACGTGTCATCGGAGCTGCTAACGGCATTGTGGGATTTCTTCCACCGAGACTCCGTGAGGAGCACAGACCAGTCTTTGTCTCCAGAAAGCAGAGAAGATCCAGCATGTGTGTGTTATATTGAAGACAAGCTGCGACATATATCAGTCTGTTTGGATTCTCCTCACCTACATCCCACTGCAAATTACACTCAATGCCAGGAAAAACACACACACGGCGATACTAAAACATAGAGATCTCAGAAACGCCAATAGACCATCACAAAGATCTGTTCGGCTACTTGCTTCCTGCTCAGATTGGGATATTAAATGCTTCTGCAGCAAATGTTTTCGGTGGATAAAGATCTGGGAAAGTGTCCAAAAGGCTGCACATTCACATTTGGCATAAATTTACCTCAGGTTACTTGAGGAGAGGAAGCTACAAAGTTAAAATGCTTACTAAATGATTATTTGCTATACATTTCATGATGGATTTAAAGAGTAGTGCATAAAATTTCTGTTCACATATTGGTAGAAGTGTACAATATTGACAAAGAGTAAATAGCCATGTTTCAATCCACCTATTTTTATGTGCATTTTGGATATGCGCAAAAAAAAAACGGTTAATGGAAACGCAAAGATGCACATAAATTTTGAAAATATGCACATAAAATAACGTATGCGCATAACTGAGTAGGATAAACTTTTTATTCGATAAGAAAAAATGTGCATAAACTGCAATAGAAACACTTTCTAGAACAAATTTCAGTATGCGCACTAAAAAAACGTCATGTGATTTTTTTTATAATGCTGCGTTCACACCAGACGCGGAACGCGCGTCAAGCGCGAGTGATTTACATGTTAAGTCAATGCAAACTAAAGAGACATCCTACGGTGCCATACGTGCGAATTGCGCGATACGCACAAATTGAGCGTTTTGCACATTTGACGTGCGAATTGCTTGAGTTCTAAAGTCTGAACTTCAGCAGACATTCTCGCCGCGTTAACCAATCAGGGGCTTGCTCTTGTGGGAGCGTAATGGTGACGTACACCTGTTGTTGAAGTCCCGTGGGAAAGCCCTTTACACAAGGCTAAAAGCTAAAGATATTTAAATGGGCAAGTTAAAATCTTAGGGTGCTTTCACACCTGTGAATCGTTTCAGTTGTTCCGAAACAGAGATTAAAATTGTTACATTGTTGCTCTTGGAGCGGTTCGCTTTCACACTGCAAAGTTTCTAATCGGACCAAAAGAGCTAAAACAAGTCACGTGCGAGTAAACTCTCCTTACATTGGTCAGAGTGTCAGGGTTTATTTTGCAGCGTCCCGCTCAGCTGTCAGGAGAGGTGGTGGTTTGGTGGTGATTGACAGGGTGCGCGCGCGTGACGTGTCTGAGGAGAGACGCGGTGGGGAGGGGTGAGAAGGGTGCGCGACGATGCCTATTTGAGGACTGGGAGAGAGACGCGAGATTACTGGGAGATCATCACTCGTTTGCGGGCATCCGGAGACTCGCGAAACTTCCCGCCCTACTCATAATTCTCTCTTCATATAGCCGTAAGCCTATTACATTTCCATAAAACACTGTGATATAACCGCGCTCGGATCGGATCGCTTTCTCACTGCAATCGAACCGCTCCAGGGTTCGTTTCAATCGAGCCGAGACCACCTTATTCAAGCAATCTCGGAGTGATTACTTTGGCGCGGAACAGAGCGCGATTGCCCTGTTCACATATGCCAATCGAACCGCGCTAACTGGGCAAACGAGATACGTTCCGAAACAAAAGTGTAGGTGTGAAAGCACCCTTAAAAAAACTCTTCAAAAACAAATGTTATTGTACGGAAGATAATGAAACCATATTAAGAAGTAAATAGAGTAAATAAATAAACATTTCCTAAAACTTTTATTGAAATATATTATTAGCGATTGGATAGGTGTTGGCCCGAAAATTTTTAAGACCTAAAATTAGTTTTTTGAAATTTAAGAATTTTTAAGACCCCACAGGCACCTTGATTATGGATGTGCGAATAACTGCTAATTTTATGCGCATTCTGTCAGTAAAGCTGGCTCTAGTAAACCTCCAACATGTGTGGTTATAGATGGAGCAAAGTTTACTCTTAAGCTGCGGTCACACTGCACTTTTCTCCCCATAGACCTCCATTCATATGCACGCGAATGCCTCAGACTGAAACCCAAGCTCATGCAAACAAAAATCAAATCACTTGAGTTTGTGAGACCAGTCGAGGATCAAAACATGACCCCTATGGACAGAAATTAAATATGGAGCAATCGCTCGCTTTTTTTTAAATGTCTAATCATCTTGTTTGATCCCACCCCTTTTCGCAGGGCTGTACGACAGAATTTCGCAAGGTTAATCTCTAGTGTGACTGCGGCATTACACAATAACATTGAGATAATCATTCTGAGGTAATGAGAGCTGTTTGCAAAGATCAGTGAACTACGGCTCTGTGTAGTAAATGCTGCTTATGAAATTTTCACGTTTTACTCCAAATACATTTCATAACTTCAGTCGAGTTTTTTTTAAATGAATCGTTTTGTGTGATGATTCTGTAGTCGTATGAATATTAGTCACACTGAATTGATAAAAGCTGTTAAATCTAATACATTTATAATGCACACATTATTTAGAATACATACATTATAGTGACACAGACAGCATCATGTTCTCTCTCATTTACACACACACATAGACAGCTACATACATACACACACACACACACACACACACACACCTACAAACAAGGTAAACACAGCATCATGCTCTCTTATTCACACACATACATACGCGTGCTCGCTCGCTCTGGAGTCAGGAGCGATATTGTTAGACTGCCCGCTCCCGTTTAATTTACAGCAGAGTTACCGACTGTTCCTGCGATTTATTCAGAAATGTATTGCAATTTAATGCAAACCTCTACTTTAGGGCTTTCCTGGGTTTCTTCTTCTTGGGTGTTTGGGAATTCTGTGCAAGAGAGCTCTCCAGCCATCAGAGGACATTTATTGTTTATCACACAACTGTGCTTTCACTGACAATCGCAGCTTTGATTAATACCATTTCCAATTTAATTTTGATTAATGGCCTAGCCCTAAAATTGTACACTAAAAGATAGATAACGGGACAGAAATCTTACCTCAGTCAGCAGCAGGAGTTCAGCAGGATTGCTGCTAGTCATGTTGGTTAGGTAAGTGGGCCGTGTGTAGACAAACACCGGTCGAGCAGATCCATCCCCAACTGACGCCAATCTCATCCCCTCTTTCACCCGGTTCCTCACAAACTGCCGTCCTTTCGGGTTGTCCTTCAGGATTTTCCCCATGTACACTGAAGGATAAAGAGCTGTACTCTCTGTCCACAGCCACTTCAGTTCATTGTTCCGGCTCACCTCGATGTCCGGACACTGTCCCGTGTAGTTCTGCAGGTTAGTTTGGTAATTGTGGTTGTAACAGTCAGGAAAGAGGTAGTATCCCCAAAGCTGCTGGGGCCGTAAACTTTTGGCTAATCGAAGAGTCTCCAACATGAACTTTCGTGCAGAGAGCTCAAACTCTTGCTGGGCCACTTTGGTCACTTGATCTAGAGGCCAAGTTGGGTTTTTCTCAGCAACTAATCGTTGCGATCGGTCTCGATAAATAAGTTTAGGTCCCCAGTTTCGTATCCAAAGGGGCCGCCACTCTTCCCAGTCGATTACAGCTAGACCTTTGACTGCTTGGTCTTTTATGTACTTCTTGAGACCATCTGGCATCTTTTCTAGGTGCTGCGTGAGACTGGCAGCCTGTGGTAGACCTCCATAGACTGGAGTGCTATCTGGTTTAAAGTATGGGTACAAACCTAATCGATCCTGATAGAAGATGGTGAGATTTTGCTTGGTGAAGCCCTCGTTTGGAGACGCCACAATCTGGAATTGATCCAGCTGGAAGGTGACATCATGTCGAGGTCTGCAGTCTTCAGTAGGAGCATTCCAAGCCAAAAGCAAAGGCTTGCCGGAATACAGAGGCCATCTAGTGTTTTTTAACTGTTGTGCTTTTAAACAGGTCCAAAAGAGCATCAGTAATAACACTTGAAGCCAGGAGGCCCGTTGAGTTCGGGTCGTTCCAGAGAGATGGGTGATATTCTTCATTTCAGACCTGAAAATGGATAGAACTAATAAATTAATGCATTTTATACTGTAAGAAGTCTTGCATTCTGTTTGGGTCATTGTATTATTATGAATAGATTTAGACTGAGTAAAGTGTTAAGCTGTATATTTTTTCACACTTAGTTCGTACCAAAAATGTAAAATAATTTTTAAAGATGAAGCCAAAAAATAGCTTTTACAACACATTGAGTAACTGCTCTTAACATAAGAAATGCTTTATGTTGGCTAAATGCGGTTGTTGTTTGTGTGCGTCATGTTATTTTTATTAGCTGAGAACTCAAGAACAGCTCATAAAATGTTTAAGGGAGTCAAAAACATAACTAAAAATTGCTCTTTTGAAAATACAAATTACTAAAAAATGTAGCATTAAGACAGCAGCATTTCAGCATATTCAAATGAACCGCATTTAAAAAAAAGCAAAGGTACCAGTATTTGATTTGACCTATAACCTGGCAATTGTGAACAATGTGAATCTTAAAGTACACATTTAAATGCTTGCTCCACAGGAACTCAACTCACACAACCTTATCTTTGTTAGTACCAGCTGAGCTATAATCAAAAAAACGTTGAGAAGTTAAAAAAAGAAGAAGAAGGAACTTTCAAAGGAAACTACAAACATACTATAATAATAAGTGAGAACACTTACATTTCGCACACAAGTTACGGTTACAGTTAACAGTTACAGAGAACAGTTTACCCAAAACTGAACATTCTGTCATCAATTAGTTACTCCTTTCTTGTTTTTAATTTTTACGAGCTTCTTCTGTTAAACACAAAATACATTCTGATGAAAGCTGGAAACCTATAACCACTGACGTCCTTAGTATCATCTACTCCTTATTTTAAAAGTATCTTCTTTGTGTTCAACAGAAGAAAGAACTAGTAAAGGTTTGGAAACACTTTGTTGAGGGTAAGTAAACAGTGAGTACATTTTGATTTTTGGGTGAACTATGCCTCTGAATAAACGTTTTACCAGTGCGCGTTTACTGGGATTCGAACCAATGACACTTATATCGTTAGAACGCCGCTTTGGAGTTCAAACATTCTAATAATAGAGATTCCAATTTCGAAAACTCAATGGAACGTTCGCACTTCGTTTCAAACACAGTTCTACAAACCCGCTTCCTCTTTAAATTCTAGCAACATATAAACTAACTGTATTCTATTAGAGGAAATACTGACCTGATCTGACTGAACCCGTTCAGCACACCGGTCCGTTCACTCATACACTAAACCACGTAATGTCCGTCCATCCATCCAGCGGATTCCAACACCTCATAACTAATAATCCCAATCGCTATTTCAAAACAAACCAGTTTATTATCATACTTTCGGGGTCTTTAAAACGCCCCGTACGCTTTCAGAGAGTCTCTCTCGTACCCAGCTGGCTCATCTGGATCAGTGATTGAATGTGTATGAATTTCGGCCCACAGATTGATGAATGTACTTGTAGACAGAGGGAGGCGTGTTCGTATAGTTGACGTATTATACTGTGCTTTAACGCTATATTGTTAGACTGCTATATACAAGCTTAATAAATAACTAAAGCTATACTTTGTAAGTGCCTAAGTGGTTGTGTTTCGTAATGAATGCATTGTATTTATAGTTAGTGTCTTTGAGCCTCCCCTACTTGGCTAGTTGGTTTCGTCCAGATTTCTCCGCTGGGGATGAAGAAGCGTTTCTACTGAACTGAGTTGAGAGACCTACAGGAGTCCAGAGCCATTACACACAGATCACATTTCACTCCAAAATCATAGCGAAGGACCATATTTTCACTCTTCTGACTTTTCTTTCCATTCCTCTATAAATTATTTGCCACATTATGAGAAGACAAGCCTAGAGTATGACTAAAAAGTGCATGACTGACTAGCAAACAGATCTGAGGTAACAATACAACTTTGTGTTTGACACGGTACCATGCTAGTACTACACTGTTTACACATATATTATATCAATAACTTGTTTTTGAGTTTCATTACATTAATAAAACAGTTATTAGACTACACTGTTAAAGATTACAAGCGTAGTTTACACAAAAATGAAAATTCTGTCATCAGCCTACTTGTTCCACAACAATTTGATGAATAAGATTCATAAAAGACCATAAACTGAAAAATGTTGAAAACCCGTAACGATTGGTGTCTATAATATTAGTTTTTTTTCTATACTACGGAAATAAATCTATCCTTTTAAGTTTAGCTAAGTCAAGTTCAATCCTTGAAAAAGAATGTGTTTAGAAGTACTATAAAACAGTAAAATAAGCCAAAACTGACATTGCACAACATCCGGTAGTGTTGGCAGAACTGGCACTAACCTTTGACACACAGGAAGTTAGCGTACTGCTCTGAAGTACTATTTCCTGTGGCATTGGTAACCATACTATGTGCTGACTCACCTGAAACCGATGACTGCTTGTGAATGAACCCACTGAATGGACAAATTGACTTCATAAAATCCCCCAATACTTTTTTCACACATATTTTACAATGCAAATCTGATCAACTAAGTAGCTCTTTATGGATGCTAATGTTTGGTGTCATTCGCAAGAACAAAAGCTCATTCAGACACATCCCTATAGGACGCCTAGAGAACATAAAGGCCTCCCAGAAAGCCCTTGTTTCCATGTGTTTCAGCGAAGATGGGTGTAATGACAAGTTGCGGTCAGCGCTATAGATTTCTGAGGTCTGCCTCAGGAGGAAAAGTGGAGGCGGACAGGAGGAAAACCACCCACAGCTGCAGGCCAAAAGGTCAGCTTTGATGTCACCTTTAAAGGGCAGATGTCATAAAAACATCCATATTGAAACTAAGACCGCTTTAATACTTCATTCAGAGTGGAATTGTATGAGTATTTAGTGAGTAGTTTGAATGCAATAGTCCTACAAATGACTAATGCGTTGTGTATGTTTGCTTCTGTCCACAGCAGGAGGCAGGCATTCCGGCCGAGTCTCTGCTCCGGGGCCGAATACCTCAATCCTAAAACACATCTTGTAGTAATAAAGTATTGTAAGAGCCAAAAGACCAGTACTGCGTCTCATAAACAGAGGACAGATCACACAGCTGTGAGCGATTTACACTGCTAATGTCTAATTATGGGAGGTAGAAATGAGGAAACACTCTACATCTCCACCTGACAGGTGTTTAAACTCTTAAAAAAAACAATACATATGATTATTATTAATTGAAATAAATAAAACGTTACCCCGCAAAAATTGTAACATCATCACCTACTTGCTCAGCATAGAAACAGAAACAGTTTTAGGTTTTTGGCGAAGGTAGCACCTATACGCAAAACTTTTCAAAACAGTAAAAAGTTTAATTTTCAGTGTAACGTTGTTCTAACGGTGTCTGAAATTTCCTCCAAAAACTGAAATTGTTCAAGGAAAATAAACTGGCACTGGTGGTGGTCTGAAAACAACCCAAAGGAATCATAAAAGATGACCTGTACAACTTAAGCACTATGTTCAAGTTTCCTAAAGTCATATAAGAGATTTAAAGTCACCCACCTTCTAGTTAAAATGCATACAGAAAAAAAAAATTAAATACAAATCTTTATTCTTCTAATATTTTGCCTTTTTTCTGGAAATATTTGGATTTTATTTTCATAATTTCAACTTTATTCTTGGAATATTCTGACTTTATTCTTGTAATTTCAACTTTATTATTGAATTATTACTTAGATTTTGTAGTATTTAGATTTTATTCTAAGAATTTCATAACTCTCATAATAATATTTCTACTTATGTCTTGTATTTCAACTTTATTCTTGCAATATTTCGACTACTCTCAAAACATTTCAACTTTATTCCTGTAATATTTTTACTTTATTATTGAAATATTTAGACTTTATTCTTGCAATATTTCGACTACTCTCAAAACATTTCATATTTATTCCTGTAATATTTTGACTTTATTATCAAAACATTTATACTTTATTCCTGTAATTTTTTTTATTTTATTATCAAAACATTTATACTTTATTCCTGTAATTTTTTTTTATTTTATTATCAAAACATTTATACTTTATTCCTGTAATTTTTTCTTATTTTATTATCAAAACATTTAGACTTTATTCCTGTATTTTTTTTTATTTTATTATCAAAACATTATAACTTTATTCCTGTAATATTTTGACTTTATTATCAAAACATTTATACTTTATTCCTGTATTTTTTTTTATTTTATTATCAAAACATTTATACTTTATTCCTGTAATTTTTTTTATTTTATTATCAAAACATTATAAATTTATTCCTGTAATATTTTGACTTTATTATCAAAACATTTATACTTTATTCCTGTAATTTTTTTTATTTTATTATCAAAACATTTAGACTTTATTCCTGTAATTTTTTTTATTTTATTATCAAAACATTATAACTTTATTCCTGTAATATTTTGACTTTATTATCAAAACATTTATACTTTATTCCTATAATTTTTTTTATTTTATTATCAAAACATTTAGACTTTATTCTTGTAATATTTTTTTTACTTCATATTGATACTTTCAACTTTATTAATAAAATATCACTTTGACTTTGTAATATTTAGATTTTATTCTCATAATTTCAACTTTATTCTTGAAACATTATTACTTTAATCTCATTTTAAAGGAATATATATTTAACGTGGCACGAATACACCATAGTAGGAATCTTGTAAATTAAAATTCCCTATCAAACAAAACTACTGCCTGACCTCAAAAGCACAAGTCATGTGAACTACTTATGCACTAAACATTCCACCAATCACCTTCTTTTCATTCATGTGCATTAAAAGCAATGTGGGTGTGCTGTACCTTTAAACACATATTTGGACACGTACTACACAGTCCTTTGCTAATCTCCATCTCCAACATTGTGTAGCTTACTCCAAAAACACTCCAAAGTTAAGTTTCAGAACTTTTATAAACACTTCCTGTCTTATGTCGTACGTAAATATTAAAGCTCATACTCACCGTACTGAAACGTTATCTCTCTCTCTCTCTCTCTCAGCAGACAGACGTCCTCAGCTGTCTCTGTATGTAAATGTACACCTGTTTCAGCTCTCCTGTCACAGAATGCTCAGCTGCTTTAAGAGAGACTCACAGTGTTGATCACGGAGAAACCACACCCCTGTACCTCCTACAGATTCCTGCCTGTCTCACCCACCCCTCGCCAGCCCCAGAGCCCCACCGGCCTTTTGATCTCACCGTCATTGAAAGGACTGGATACGAGTAGTTTAGACCGATCTCAGATCAGCGCCTGATTCTGGTTGCCAAGGTGTTCCACTGAAATCCCACCTCTGAGCAGAACTTCAATTACAGGACTAATAAATCACTGGAAGAGATAGTGGAGATAAAGGTAATAAAAATGATTTAAAGCTGAAGAAAATAATGGTAGTTAAAACAATATACGGGATGAAGCAGGCAAGGACTTTCATTCCTCTAGGACACAAATACAAATATACAACCAATGTGCTTTGGAAAAAAGTGGTTGATAATTCTAGTTGTTACCTATTTTTTATTGAGATTATTAGGAAGAAATTAGTAGGAAGAAAAAAAAATCCACACCTTGTCTGTATGTTGAATCGTTTGCTTTTAGCTGATTAAGAGCCAGCAACATTACATGATTTTGCATCCAAAGAACATTTTGGCAGTTCCTATAACCATTGGCAGAAGTACTCATTTTTTTGTGAGTCTACTTTGCAAGAATAATTCTTGTTTGAGGAGCACAATTTGGGGGAGCTAATTGCAAGTTGTCCTTGCTGAAGTACTGGTGATGTAATAGATCAGGTCCAATATGTGGACGTTGCAACGCTAATGAGACAGTTGGTTTTAGGGTTGGGGTAGGTGTAGAAGTTAATAACTGAGGGTTGGGTTTAGAGTCAGGGTAGGTGTAGACGTTAATAACTATGATGGTTGGGTTTAGGGTTTGGGTAGGTCAGGTGTAGACATTAATAACTGTGAGGGTTGGGTTTAGGGTTGGGGTAGACATTAATAACTCTGAGGGTTGGGATAGGTGTAGATGTTAATAACTGAGGGTTCGGTTTAGGGTTGGGGTACGTCAAAGACTATAGAATACACAAGACATGTCATTTGTATACTTTTGAAAGAGGAAAAGTGTAACAGTCAATATGGCGAATCAAGCTTAGCCTTCTAGTACGGGAGCCAATCAGCAATCGCTATAGAATGACAATTTTTCCAGGAGAGGGGCTTGGACCAGATGTGAGTTTTTGCAGATTTTAGTGTGATACGAAAATTCAGAAACGAAACTAAATAGACAGTCGTTTAATTTTGTTGGTTATTCGTAATATGGAATTTAATCGTAAGCTTGGCAAGTAGTTTTGGAGAATTTGATGTTTCCCCATTCAAACAGAATGCCCAGGCATACTGCCCGAGAGGCGTTTCAAAGATGGCCACAAAGTAATATTACTTGCCTTAAGGTATTTTGGGTACCCGTAGACAATAAAAGATAATAATAACTGTAAGGGTTCATTTTAAGTAGATGTAGACATTAATAATTGATGGTTGGGTTTAGAGCTAAGGTAGGTGTAGACATTAATAACTGTGAGGGTTGGGTTTAGGGTTGTGTAAGTGTAGAGCCAGGGCCGGTGTGTCCATAGAGAATGCTGAGGGCAGCGTCCGCGACTCCCCCGGTCCTCACTTTTATCCGCGACACCGCCCCCACACGCCCCTCACTTTCATCCACGACAACCCTTCCCCTTTCGTTTTCTCTTTCGGGTTGCTGCGTGATCGTCCTTTGCCTAGAGCGCCAGTTCAGCTTGCTCTGGCCCTTTGTATACGTTAATAGCACTGATGGGTAATTTAATAACTGATAAAAATAATTCTTATTTCTAGCAACAACCGTTGGCACATGCACGTCGGCTACGTATTGGACCTGATCCAGTATGTATAAACACTCACTTTAATTCAGCTGCTTAACTGTTTTTAGTGTTCACATTTAAATTTGCGTACA